TTTGAAATCCGCTTTTCTAGTGGGATACATAATCCATAAGCCAGTTCAGTTCAGAATCGTGGGTACCTACACATTGATACTCCCGTAGTCACTGCGAATGACTGTGAGGGAGCTGGGGAAACCTTTTCTATAGCTGAGGTACACAATTTGGTTCTACATGTTATCTAAAGAGTTCTATCGCTTGAAAAAATGCTTTCTCTCATAATAATCATTTATAGGACCCTTCAAAAGAAGATTTTTTCAACAAGAAGGATGCATACCTATCTGTCAGTGGTCAGTTACATCTAGAGGCTATGGTAAGGTTCGTTAGATCTGTGCGATGATTAAGCTCTTTTTTGACAGAAAGGAAATATCTGTCTTTTTGAATATGTATTGACTGCTTTTACTGAAAGATGCACTCACATATATCAGTATGTTATCATTGATTTAGCGGGATCTCTCAAGTATACACACTAAGCACTGGATGTAGAGCTGACAAGCAACAAAGCAGAAATCATCTAACGGAATTCAGGATGCTGGAAGCAGAAATCGCATTTCTTGAAGTGAGTGTGTAAAGAAGCGGCTTTATACTCTATCAAAACATAACTTTTTGCTTTTCTTAATTATTTCATCTGACATTTATAAACATATTTCTTTGCTTCCTTTAGCTTCTTGTTGTATCTGGAATTTTACGGCTCTTCCCTTATCATGAAACAATTTTTTCTCGCAGGATCTTAACAAGCTAATGGAAATTCCTGAGAACTTTTTACGCTACTGTGTTTTCAATTTGCTAAGTGATCCAGAAATGATGGACGATTTTGAAGCACTTGGGCAGTTTTCATCAAAGGTATGACATTATCGGGAAAGAATTGTTGTTTAAAATCTTATCTTATCTTTTATAAAATCTCTTATCAGGAGCACTTCTCCGTCTTGGAATCCATTGTAAACGCTCCGCCTTTTCCCAGATTATCTTACGCTGATGCCCTAGAATTGCTAGCTGTCAAAAATCAAAAAGTTACCGGAAGGGGATTGAGTAAGCTGAACGAGGCATTTTTGGTGATTAACACTAATTATAAGGCCGATAAGGAAACAGTAAAGTCGATTTATAGGTAGACTACTACAAGTCACCTGTTTTTGTTACACACTTTCCGTCTGAGCAAAAACCCTTCTACATGATGCGATCGTCGGATGGGAAACTGGTCAGTAATGATTTTTTTGATTCGCAGAAATGTTCC